CAAACATAATTAATAGATTATCTCATTAATACCTATTTTATATATTAAAAAAAGTTTACTACACCACCGTTTGTTGACAAAATGATTTGGGTTGAAAGTTATACTGTTGTGTCTCAAACGGATAGACTAGGTTATTAATTTATTTGCCTAATAGTTGCTTAAAATGCTACAATAACATTTGCAATTCGTTTTTAATCTGCCATGTACGGTAATGTCTCTCAGCCACCGTAGTATCGTGTCAGGTGGGCGTGTCGTGTAGGGGGCTACGAGCGGGAGCTCGATGGCACAACTCGCAACCTCAAAGTTTTTCAGGAGGTCTCTGCACTGTTGTCCGGACGCGGATACGCAAGGACTTTCCAGCAGTGTAGGGACAAACTGAAAAAGCTTAAGAGTGAGTATAGAGCCGTCAAGGACCACAACGGCCGGAGTGGTTCAGATAGGAGAAGCTGGAAGTGGTTCGACCTGATGGACGCTATTTATGGCCATAGACCGGCCAACGTTGGGAGGGAGGGAGGCCTGGACTCTGCAACCGCGTTGCTGGAGTCCCTGCATGGTAAGTCTTTGCTAACGCTCTGTTATTGGCTTGAAAGCGTTGTGTCCCTATCTATTATAAAGCTCACTTCTAACAAACAAGTCTATTTTATCCTTACATTTAAGTTCTACAACCCATGCTTTTATGGATCCCCGAAGAGCTACATAGCTAGCTAAGGCAGATAGCATTAGCTAGAGCTATTGTTTGCTACCACCACATGTGCCATTGTTTACGTTCAGTTTTTCTTTTCTACAGTTGTTGTTGTTGCTATTTAGTATTGTGCTGCAGTAGTTTGTGGAATTAACAAGTCATGTTGCTGTTCTAGATGATGCCATAGATGAAACTAGTGAGGAGGAACAGTCCCGAACAACGGGTGATCCGTCCTCGTCATCGAATCCAGAAGGGACCCCAACTCGACCACAGACACCAGCCGAACAACCGACACCAACTCAACCACCAACGCCGAGTGCCATCACGACACCGCAGCGTGTGGTTCTAGGTAAGAAATAGGCATGGCAAAACGACTGCAATTGTGACTTTTTTTTAAACTTTAGATCATCCATCGTCAGTAAGTAAAATAAGCTATACCACTGTGTGGAAGTGCTCTGTTACAAGTAAGTAACTAGCTAGTAAGCAGCTAGTACAATTGTGTGTGACATCCTATTATATACATATATTTATATTCATTATCAACAGGCTGGACATAATGTAATTCACTTTCACAATCATTGTAAACATCTAGGGCATAACTGTCTTTAGTTCATCCTTACTGTAGTTCTGCTTATACATTTTATTCTTATATCCTTGTGTGACCTGTACCTGTCCTGTGTTTTTCATTCTTATTGCTAATTCTTATTGCTATAATTATCTTATCATCATACAGGCAAGAGGAAACGAGGAGGAGACGAGCACCTAGCACAGGAGGAACGGCACCATGAACGGAACCTGGCCCAGGTGGATCGGCACTGGCAGCTGACCATGGAGGATACTGCCCGGGCAAGGCAGGAGGAAATGGCCTTGAGAAGGGAGGAGAACGCTCAAACTCTGGCATTTAACTTAGCCTTCCTGCGCACTCTTGGCCAGGTTGTGGACAGCCTACGTGGCCCGTCTCTTCAGGAAGACGAACCACCTCTGTAATTGCCACATTAGTACAGTACTTTCTTGTTTATGTCTTATCTTTCTTTTTTGTTTTTATAATGCCATGCCTTTTTATGCTGCTGCAACACATATTTTTGTTTTTTGTTTGTACAATGCCATGGCTTTTTTATGCTGCAACTAAAACACTTCCCAAATTGGGATTCAATAAAGTACTTCTCATCTTATCTCTTGTTGATAAATGCATCATCTGATTTCCTGCCATAATCTGATTAACAAACTGATTTTCGTGAGCATGTAAACAAAGTCACTGGGTTGCCACTCACACACAAACACACAGTTTTGGAATCCAATCATAAACTGAAATGAAATGTACACGTTTCATTAAAGGGCTTTAAATCAGCAGAACAAAAACACTGAGAATTGTGTCGTAGTCCAACGTTTAAAACAAATTCAGATTCACATAATTTTGAGGCAGAAGTTATAGGCCTATATTTGTTCTAAATAATAATAAAAATAGGCTACTAATAACATTTATGCAGATCTAACATTGTACATGAATTTATAAAGCAATAAGAAACACCAGTTAGGAAAAAGCCCATAAGATAAAAAGTGAATTTTAAGAAGAGATTTAAAGCAATAAATAGTTTGCTAGCTTGAGGTCCTCCTCTAAAACATTGTTTGGTAACTGACACATCATTACTTAAAGTCAAAGACTACCTTTTATAAATAAACTGGAAGGGGGTATTTCGAAAAAAAACAGAAAGAGGAGGATAAGAGATCATTTGTATTTATGTTTATAGTTTACTTGGATATTTGCTTAATTTATTAGAGATTTTCTTTTCAGGATCTGATATTTGCTCAAATGTTCTTATTATGGGGCAGTACTTACTGGTACTTGAAATTCAAATATTTACTAAATAGCAGAGGTGGGACCAAGTCTTTGCGCTCAAGTCCAAGTCAAGTCTCAAGTCAGGATGGGCAAGTTCAAGTCAAGTCCAAGTCCTAAACTTTGACAAAACGAGTCTTAAACAAGTCATTATGTGCTTTTCAACAAATGTAATGACATCGATCAACAGAATAATACTTAATAATCTGCTCTTTATTAGTCACATTAATAATTTAATAATCCATTTTCTCTCTGCTGGTAAAGTAACGTGTTTGTCTTCTATTGTAAGAGGGATCAGTAAGGTAAGGCTACCGTGACGGTTTGATTCAGAAGGAGTTTAATGTACAAGATCCCTGATGTTGAGGTGACCAGAATGTGTATTTCCACTGTGTACAGCATGTTATAAGGGATCCACAATCTATCTTTATGCAAGGGATAATGTGCAGCGAGGCGTCTCTATGGGGAAAAGAACACCTGAATCTAGATCCCTCTGCAGGTGGTACTTTAACTATATTTTGATGATAATACTTTTCTACTTTTACTTGAGTAACATTTTGAATGCAGGACTTTTTATTGTAACCGAGTATTCCTATACTCTGGTACTTTTACTCAAGTACAAGATCTGAACTTCTCCCACCTCTGACAATAAATCCTGAGTGGTTACCAAATAAAAACCCTGCTCTGAAGGTTATTTTCATTTTACAAATCCTGCACTCAGCTTTGCTTTCTCCAATATCATTGAAATGCAGCCAGATGCTGCTTCTTTTTTCGGTTTTCGCACATTTCTTGACTTTCCGACGCGCTTGCATTTAAATCCGGCACCCCGTCTCCCCGTGGCTCTGTAGCTGGCCTGTACCACTACACCTGCTGTCTTTGGAGTAGAGATGGGCGAGTCCTGATTCATCCGGATCATTAACCCGGATCCTAGAAATGAGCTGGTCGTGACGAGTCTCCCCTCTCCATTAACCCGAGTCCTTGAGTCCCACACTTGGTGTGACGTACAAATTAAAACTATAAATTGCGTCACTCGCTACTCTCTTTATAACATGTAAAATCACATTACAACGTACCCCAGTCCATCTGCCTACCCTTTAACAAGTATACAGTATACAGGATAGCTGCCTGCCAGAAGTTATCGTTTGGCTCAGAGGAGGGGACGCGGATCAGTGAAACTTCCTGCAGACTCGTGGGGACTCAGAGGAGCCGACGGCTCCTAACCGTAATAGCATAGCAGATCCAGAGATCCATACTCGTCATGTGCACGAGCATAGCCCCTCCTCCAGCACCCGGCTCCCGCGCTATCAACAGCAGACTCGCAGATTCGCAAATCCTGACTCGCTGTGCAACACACAGCAGAGCAGACTCGTGCGGACTCGGAGCCGTAACAATATAGCAGCAGATCCAGCAGACTCGTCCTCAGGCACGCGTCAACAGCAGACTCAGATTTGCCAAATCGCAAAATAACCCTTTTTTTTGTGATCAACATTTTTTATTAAAGCAAAATACACTGTGTAGCGGAGGTTAATATAACGTCAGTTTAATAGATAGATAGATAGATAGTACTTTATTGATCCCAAATTGGGAAATTGTTGTTGTTACAGCAGCATAAGGCATTTTACAATAAAACAAAACTACAAAATATACAAGAATAGAAAGAAAAATAAAATAAAATATACATGTCGAAATAGAAAATATACATGCAGATATTACACATATATATATATATATATATATATATATATATATTCAAAATATATGGAATAATAATATGCTCGTGAAATGCAACAACTTTTCGGTTTCACCAATAGGATTTCTACGGTCTTGGTGATGCTGACTCATATGACTCAAATGACTCGTATGATCCGGATCTCTTCAATGACTGACTCAGAAGACCCTGAGTCCGTAAAAGGATCCGGATTTGCCATCTCTACTTTGGAGCGTCTGCCCCCCACCCTTCTTTCACATAATGGTATGATCCTAGTGTGTCCTCGCATATGATTGGCCGCATGGTGGCTCAGCAAAATAAAGTCCCGCCCCTGCCTGCATGGATTCTCAGCAAGAGTAGGTGCGGCTGAAGATTCTGCTCTCTCGGACGCGAGTCTGCTCTTCTAACGGCAGCTCGCGATCGGCGTGTTGGAGACCCCTGAATTAAATTATCAAGTCACCTCAAGTCAGAAGGCTCAAGTCCAAGTCAAGTCCCGAGTCATTGGTGTTCAAGTCCAAGTCGAGTCGCAAGTGTTTTGTGATTTTGTCAAGTCGAGTCCAAAGTCATCAAATTGGTAACTCGAGTCTGACTCGAGTCCAAGTCATGTGACTCGAGTCCACACCTCTGCTAAATAGTCAATTCTGATAACATTTTTTGGTTTAAATCATTTGACAAACACATGTATGTGAAAGAGAAAAAAAGATGTATTTATGTTCAACACAATGTAGTAATAATAAACACAAAACAAAATGTCACTACCCTTAATGGCCCACAATCTTTCAATTGCTATTCAGGTAGCGCATCAAACCCTCTCTTATTTCAGTGCCCCCCTCCTCTGCACCTTGTGCCACTGCTGCTGCTGGTGCATCCCATTCATCATCATAGGCCTCTTCATGACTCTCGCAGAGGTTATGCAGAGCACAGCATGTCAGCACCATAGATTCCACAAGTTTCACATCACAGTTATTTCTTTTCATGAGGCAACGCCACCTTCCCTTCAGTCTACCAAAAGCGTTTTCGACCACTACCCGTGCTCTGCAAATGTTCTTGTTGTAGATCACATGTTCTGCTGTCAGCTGTCTATTGTCAGGGAACGTTTTCATGAGCCAGTTTTGCAAGGGATAGGCATTGTCTCCCAGGATGTAATAGCCAGCATTCACCCCACCAATGTTCCTGGTGCAAGGTGGAAAGTAGTTGCCTCGACTGGCCAACTCCCACAATGAGGACAGCCTCAAAACCCGAGCATCATGCAAGCTCCCAGGCATTCCTGCAAACACATTCCAGAAATGTCCCTTTCCATCTACAACTCCTTGAAGGATGATGGAGTGCCAGCCTTTACGGTTGAAATAGTCGCAGTGGTATTCCTGTGGTGCCAAGATGGGTATGTGTGATCCATCAATAGCACCTACACACTGTGGGAGCCCCCACCTGTTCTCAGTGTAGTCGGCCATTTCTGCAAACTTCTCCCGGTCTGGTGAACAAATTAGTTCCGGTACTAACAACGTCTCTGCAGCAGCACAGAAGTCTTGCACACACCGGCACACAGTTGTGTTGCTCACTCCGAAAAGATGTCCAATGCTTCTGTACTCTGAGCCGGTCGCAAGCTTCCACAGTGCGATGGCCACCCTCTTCTTTAGAGGTATACACTTGCGGAATGCTGTGTCCTGTCTCTCCATCGCTGGCCGCAGTTTGTTGCACAGGTAGACGTAGGTTTCCTCTGACATCCTGAAGTTCTCGACCCACTGAGTGTGTGTGAAAGATGGAACAATCACACCCCACCACTCGGTAGCTCGGTCGAGCATCCAAACACATGGTCTGCGGCGGCGACCTAACTTCTGAAATACACAAACAAAAGCATACATATTTTAATACGTAAAAGTGGTAGCTACAATTAATTAAATACTTGAAACACTTTGGTCGTATAGTGAGCGTGAAACACATTGCTAGTTAGCGAACGTTAGCTTACAGAGTAGCGTTGAGTCGTGCTGGAGTAGTCTCTGCCGCTTTCTGCGATTGCCATAAGTCTCCCATGAGCTTCTTCTCTATTACGTCTTGCTATAAGCCGCCTTTTCCGAAAGAAAGTGTTCCTTCTTGCTGTGATAAAACACCACAGACACAGAAACAAGGAAACGATGGCATCCACATCCTCCATTGTTGCGTGTTTCGTGAGTTGTGTCGCATTGAAGATGACGTCACGGCAGTTGTATGCAGCGTCGCTCCGCCTACACTGCGTTACTATAGTAACTACCCCAGTTCCTAAACTGTAATGGAAGCGCAGCATGAAGTGAGCCGGCCCTGTTAAGGCCCAACGCGGCCAAGCAGTACCGAGCGTGGCCGAGGCCGACCGTGTGGTGGAAATGCGCCATAAGACTAGCTGGTCCATCTCCCCTCCACAGAGAAGCAGTGGAGAGCGTGGAGGACCTACGGTTCCTTGGAGTCAACATCTCCAATCATTTAACTTGGACCTCAAACCTGGTGAAAAAGGCACAGCAGAGACTGTTTTTCCTGAGGAAACTGAGACAGGCCAGGCTTCCACAAAAACTGCTTGTAAACTTCTATCGGTCGACTATTGAAAGCACCCTGACCAGCTGCATAACTGTGTGGTACACCAGCTGCAGAGTGGAAGGACCTGCAACGGGTGGTGAAGGCTGCTCAGCGCATCGTTGGGACTGAGCTGGCTTTCTTCTGCAGTCGACTTTTGTAGATGTTGCCAAGGTTGGCAACATCTACAAAAGTCGACTGCAGAAGAAAGCCAGCAGTATCATCAGAGACATCACACACCCCGGCCACTCACTGTTCGAACCGCTGCCGTCCGGCAGACGGTTCAGGTCAATAAAATCCCGCACCAACAGACTGAAGAACAGCTTCTTTCCCAGAGCTGTGGCCTCCATCACTCCCATCCCTGTCCAACCACAAAACCCACTATAACTTTGAACGTGCACACATAAACACACTACCTCCCATCAAAGACTGCAGCCAAAGATATCATGTTATTTATTTGTATATTAAGTATCAAATTGTAGCTTTTCTTTATTAAATCATCTTTAAAAATGATCTTTTAATGACTTAGAAAGGGTTATTAACACCTTTGTAACCTCGAGACTGGACTATTGTAACGCTCTGTATGTGGGTATGGACCAGGCCTCAATTAAACGCTTGCAGCTAGTCCAAAACGCCGCTGCACGTTTGCTGACTCGCCACAAAAAGCGCGACCACATCACCCCTATTCTGGCCTCACTACACTGGCTTCCAGTTCGGTTCAGAATTGATTTTAAAATCCTTTTATTTGTTTTTAAAGCACTAAATGGGCTGGCTCCGGCCTATATAGCTGAACTGCTCCAGCGCTACACCCCAGCCAGAGCTTTAAGGTCTGCTGACCAGCTGCTGCTGGTAGTGCCCAAGACCAGGCTAAAAACCCGAGGGCACCGAGCCTTCGCAGCAGCTGGCCCTAGGCTCTGGAACTCTCTGCCCCTCCATGTGAGGTCGGCCCAGACCCTAGGGGTTTTTAAATCTAAACTAAAAACACACTTCTTCTCTCTGGCTTTCTAGTTAGAGCGGAGCACGACTCCTGACTTTTCCGTGTGTTTTATTTTTATTTTGTTTTTAAGATATATCTGTTGTAATTTATTGTCGTTTATTGTGATTTGTAGTAATGTGTTTTTATTACATGTACAGCACTTTGGCTCGACCAAAAATCGCTTTTAAATGTGCTATATAAATAAAACCTGATTTGATTTGATTTGATTTGAAAAATGTATTTTAACATTCTGGTAAAGTGCATTTAATGATGACCCTGATTATTGCTACTATCTCTGCTTTATCACTGCTTTTATGGATGTGTTCTTATGTACTGCAGTGAGAGAAGCCAACTGAATTTCTTTACACTGATGTGTGATGACAATAAAGATATTCTATTCTAACGTATCACATGTAACGGCATTAGGTCATCAGGATACACAATAGGCAAATGTGTTCCCTTACAGTTACAGAAGCAAAAACAATCAGATAACAGGTATATTTATGTAAAAGAGCGCTCATTAACAGGATAGCAATGATACAAAACATTTACAAATAAAGAACAATACATCAAATCACCCTATATCTGTATATGGAAACTTGGAGCCCTCAATCCACAATGAAATGGTTCATCAACAGTCAGTGGTTAACGTATACATCAGAAAATCAGTATGACAAAAACATTAAACATATTGTCCACTTATGTTGATAAAGATAGAGTTTGTTTAAAGCTCCCATGTCATGCTTTTCCGGTTATTACCCGTCCCCTTGTGTGTTATGAAGGTTTTTATGCATGTAAACGGTGTGCAGAGTCAAAACCCTCAAAGTACACCCTGTAGCGAGTAAAACTCTAACACAGAAAATACCTCCCCAAAACGCCTCGTTGGAGATACGTCACTGCCCATTTGAGTCTTCCATTTAGTTCCGGGTACGGCCTGATGTCATGCGGTACCCGGAACGAAATGGACCAATCCCGAAGAGCTATGGCCACACCAGCAGCGGCGTGTTCCTCCAGAAGTTCGAAGAACCGGCATTTCACAGACGAAAGCTTCCAAAACATTGCCCAGTTTGAGGCCGGATATGCACAGCTTGTTTGGACCGTTTGGAGCAGGGGAAGATTCGGGTACACAACCTGTGAGTTTGCATTGTTATTTGTGTATTTATCAAACAAGGTAGCTAGACTGTTTAAATGTGTAAACATGTTTACTGCTAAGCCAGTGCTAACTGTGCTAACTAAGTTGCTAGAGTTTAAATATATCAACTACAATGTCAGCAGATGGCCTTACATGTTTGTCATGGCAGGAGAATGACTGCAGTCACACACACGGAATACTCATACAGTATACTCCGGGTGATTTACCGTACATTGTGACAGTACATGTATAGCTAACTAGGCTAGCTATACATGCTAGCGGGAAACATTGTATGACCGAACGTAGAATAATGCAATTATAAACACGTTATTGCTAGCCTAATATGAACCACTAACTTTTGTTCATAGTAGTTTTATTACACTCCGTTCCTCCAAGCTAACGTTCATATCGTGTTAGCTACCAAGGTAAACAAAGCTAGGTTAGCATATTAGCTGGCAAGCTGTTCATTAGATGGATTAGATATATCCACACTCCTACCACAACTACTACTAACGAATCTAAAACAACTAAGTTTCTCTAATATTTTGTGATTTGCATTTTATTTCGTCCAGCCAGATCCTGCCGGACAATACATGACTGGACGACCACACTGAGGCATCGTCTCAAAAAGCCCCGGCTGCTATAGGCAAGATGCCGACAACAATATATGTATATTTACGTTCATTTTGTACATTTCTAAAAATAAAGTTTAATGGAAATACTTAGTAGGCCTATCCTTTCTTCCCTGAATTATTTGCACCTATAACATATCATTCATATATAGCAAACCATGATTTGATTTCTCATCAAACAGTAGTAGTTTATAACGGGTAAAAATAACTTACTCTTTGTTATGAGCGGCTCGTAGGCCACAACGGAAAGACAAGGAGACATACACGAGTTTACAAAACCACGGCACATTTATTGTGGTTAATGCAGAGATAGGTGGTTGAGAGGATCGCAGAGTTAGTCTTCCTGCAGCCGCTTTGGAGAGAGACAGGGGCCGTCGTGTGACTCCGGGCAGCTGGGCTTAATAGCACCTCGGCTCCGGAGGTGTCCGTGATCGTGCTGATTAGCCTCTTCAGCTCCACCCCATCGTAAGACAAAGGCCCTGGGGCCGTCACACTCTTCTATAACAACAGTTAAAAATATATATGTAAATTAAATATACGGCTGTACCGACTGATGTTCCGCTGAGAGCAGCCGGGAAAGCACTGTAACATGGGCGCAGCCTCTCTGGTGGTTGACTAATCAGAACGAGTGGCCGAGCTGACCAATCGGAGCACACTAGGCTCACAGGGAGGGGGGGGCAAGAGCTCCAACGAGTCGTTTAGTGGAGAAAGTGAATACTGCTGAATACACATGCTTGACAGAGATGCTGTATGCGAAACCAATGTGAGTTTGGAAAATTGCACAGTATAAATCTATTTTAGTATATCTCAACAATGTAATTATGATCAGTGGAAATGGCCATGACATGGGCCCTTTAAGTCTTATATGAATGTTGTGCAACAATGTTGATCCAGTCAGGCAGATTTTTCTCATGTGTGAACTGTCATAAGACTTATTCATTGTCCTCTCCATCAGCTTCTGTGTGTTCAGCTGAGCTGCTGATTGGAGGCTCTGCCTCTCTGTTATCCTCAGTTTGAATTTCATTAATCTTTGAGGACTGACGACCAACACACTTGTGTCTTTTGATAGAATCATGCCATTTAAATCTTTTGTCACAAACATTGCAGCTGTATATTTCCTCTCCTGTGTGGACTCTCATGTGTTTTTTTAAACTTCCACTCCGTGAAAAAGCTTTCTTACAGACTGAGCAGCTGTGTGGTTTCTCTCCTGTGTGGATTCTCATGTGTCTCTTTAAATGTCCACTCAGTGAAAAAGCTTTCTTACAAACTGAGCAGCTAAAGGGTTTCTCTCCTGTGTGGACTCTCATGTGTGTCTTTAAATTTCCACTCTGTGAAAAAGCTTTCTTACAGACTGAGCAGCTAAAGGGTTGCTCTGCTGTGTGGATTCTCATGTGTATCTTTAAACTTCCACTCAGTGAAAAAGCTTTCTTACAGACTGAGCAGCTGTTAGGTTTCTCTCCTGTGTGGATTCTCATGTGTATCTTTAAACTTCCACTCCGTGAAAAAGCTTTCTTACAGACTGAGCAGCTGTTAGGTTTCTCTCCTGTGTGGATTCTCATGTGTCTCTTTAAATGTCCACTCAGTGAAAAAGCTTTCTTACAGACTGAGCAGCTGAATGGTTTCTTTTCAGCACTACGTCGTGGATCACTGACAGATTCATGTCTATTTTTCAGTGAGTTTGAGCCTGATGCAGGTTCTCTGGTCTCCTTCCAATCAGCACTGTCTTCAGTGTCAGGTTCAGAAGAGTCTCCAGTGTCGTCCTCAGTCTTTGGTTGTAAACTGCTCTCTGGATCTGAGTTCCTGGCTGGTTCTGGTCCTCGACAGTCATCTCCATCAGCTTCTGTTTCCATGTGTTCAGTTTGTCTTTGATGAGGCTGTGAGGACTGAGGTTTCTCTTCATCATCTTCACTCTTCACAGGGTCAGGAGTGAAAGTGGACTTGGTAATATCAGCCTCCTCCAGCTCCTGAAGCTGCTCTCCCTCCTGACTGATCCAGAGTTCCTCCTGTTCCTCCTGTTCCTGCTTAATGTGTGGGGGGGGCTCTGGGTCCTCCTGGTCCAGACTGGTGCTCCACTCCTGCTGGTCAGGGAGAACCTCTCCTTTAACCACCACCAGCAGCTGGACGTCTGCAAGAAACAGGAAACACACAGTCAGAACCATCTGTTAAGTGTTAGCATTTAAAAATCTAATCACCATTAAAACGGGAGACATTTTCAGCCCTAATAATGCCTTTGTTTTTATACTTTAATATTATCTTTCTTAGTCCCGCCTATTGTGTATTTTTGTTGGCTCAATTCACCTCACGTAGCCCAGCCCCATTCCACTTCCAGTTAAAAATGAAAAAGGGTTATTTCTTCTGGTTTAGCACTAGCTGCAATGTAAACAATGAATTGTATTTGGGATCGTTCACAGCTACACTACGCCTGTAGAATGGTAATACTAAAAATATATTGTAGGGCCATACCTATACAAAACATGACTGTGAAGTTTTTTGCTTAAAATACCAAACAGATCACCCATTGTAGCCATGCCTCATACCCCTCTATTTCAGCCCTGTTCCAAAAAGGCTGATTCTGTGACCGTAGCTTTAAATGGAACAGCTGCTGCTAGCCACGCCCCT